CAGGTCCAGACATGCGGGCTAGGTATTCGTCATGAGGTACTATATTTGTAATTCGTTTTGATTCGGTTTCAATATGTCTGTTTTCGATAACAGCCAATTGTAACGAATAATAACGAACGACTTGTCAGAATATATTTTTTATGGTTTATTAATTAATTAAACACAGCTTCGGATTATTCTATAGATGGAACATTAAATATCAAGTTGATATAAAGTAATTTTCCCAAACAATTGAATTGTGCAAGATATTTATCACATGATCGTCATTAAGGTCTTGATATTGAAGCTTTATCTGAAAAATATTTAAAATAATGCTTTGCTTGGCAATTACAGTTGTTAATTAAATAAAATAGCCTAATTTCTACTGCAGAGCGGAATTTTTCGCTCAAGTTACTTTTCAAATGTGTCAAGCGACAGAAGGAGAGCAGGAGACCACATGGCATATGGCAATTATGAAGCTAAAAAACGAGGGTAAATTTTATTCGATCAAAAACCGCCATAATTGCAATTGCGGGACTTCGAACTTACGAAATTACCTTGAATTGGCAGAATTAAAAAAAGACTTAGACGAACAATTATTCAAATGAGTGGAAAGCGGCCTTTAGTTGGACAAACTGCTGCGAAAAACGCAGTGAACTCTATATACGTGAACTAGAACGATAACGGGTACTAGCCACCGCCAGCCTTGAAGTCAATTGAAAGTCGAATTGCGGGGCCAGTGCCAGTCCATTTTTATTTTCACGGTTGACCACGCATCGTTTTAATTTTTAAAGTTTAAGTGCTACGCCGAATGTTGATAAAGGTCAAAGTTTAACAAACTACATTGTTATTGCCATTGTATCAACTTTTTTTTCACATACTGAATACAGTTTCAAATTGTAATGCATTTAAAAGTTTCGATAAATAATGTACAAATGCTTCTTGCCTGCATGCCGTGGAACCAAGTCTGTGTGAATGTACGTGCAAATTTTGATCTTTTGATCCTAATGATGGGCATATTGACATTTTATTTTCACACATTGTCATCAGTTGTCTGCCATACGTAGTGGAAAACTTACAACAAATATTTATCCATATTAATCTGACACTCTGACACTGTAGAGTTCAGCTGGTGCATGAAGTAGTCGACAGTCCTGAAACCTGTGGACATATATATGATATAGATTATTTGTACTGTCTGGTATCTTTTATGAATCAAATACGCTTGGAATTTGCTCAAGAGCGGGGAGAGATTTTGGCAGTGCTCTTTAGTCACGAAACTTTCAGCATATATACTGAAATACTGAATACTTCGCACAGAACCTTTTCGTAGCTATATACAAAATAAACTCTAAAGCTGTTGAAGAACATTGAAATTCGAGGAATGCCTAAACCGGAAATATAAAAAAGACCCAGAAAAAATGTCTATAATTTGCGGTTTCTTGATCCATTTGAAATGGCTGTTGTTTCATTTTTGTACTTTAATATAATGTGGAAGTCTTGAAACTTTCACAATCAGTACAGATCACACTTATCTTCAATATAGCCTTACTTTGATATACGACGTCAGGGCCCAAGTAATTTATAACTCAGAAAAATGTACATGTTTTCATATAGTGACAACCATTTACTCAGTGACAGATAAAGTTGCAGAGAGCAACTTTATTGTACTAGTACAATACAAGCAACTGATAAGGAGTATGAGCTCCAATTTTACGGAATGGAGTGATTCCTCCAGAGATTTTTAAACCGGAAATATCTAGCATAAAAATGTCGAATAGCAGTATTTTGCAGGCATGCTCAGATTCACGCGTACACAGCGCGGAACAGAACCGACGCTTTCAATGTATAGTAGCTATATATACTATACCATAAATACTATCTTAGAGACTTTACTTAAAAAGAAAAGAGGGGGAGTCAGGGGGTGTAATTACTAAGCCGCAGAGAAAAAAAGAATTATATTAATTAATCTCGAAATTGAACCACAATCGTTTCTATCGTTTCCTGATAAGACAAATATATGAACGTTTAGTTTTTAGGCTTCTCGTTGCGTTATTTACACAGCTGAAAACCGCCCAGTTGATGGGAAACTCTAATTGTTTCATCCTGCTGAAATTTTATTGCAACTTTTTTGGGTCACCCTGACCTTGAAACTTGCTTTAACCTTCTTGGGCTTAGCTAGTAAAGCTTAAGCTTGTGTAATACTGCGCTAGCTGAGGACATGTATTGTGTTTATAAAAAATTTATCCGAATTTATAATATGTAAAAAAGCAATTAGCTACATTACAGTACTGAAATGACAGAAATAAATTTCATTATCACCGCCGTGAAACTGAAAGTATCTCTCAAGTATACAATGAGTATTTGCTCTTTCGGAGTTTCACCTTTTCAATGCATGTCAACCATACCTAGCACTACATGCAGTGTGATGGCATGACTGATAAAGTTTTAACGGCAAGTTTAATCGATTTATAATTGATATTATATTGCCATATTAGAATTATTTTGGGACAAGAAGTTGTCTGGGGACGGCCCTATTCACAATAATTCGTCGGCAAACAGTGCCCCGAAACAATTTCAGTGACCCACCAGGACACCAACAGTTTCTGCGTGTTTACATGGATAAGGCTAGCGGGAATAGCAAATGATTAGCGCCAATGATAATGCGTCTCTGATAAGTCTAATGTTTCCGAAATAAGCATGCACTGCCTCTGCCGCTGTCTTTTGGTATATCCATTTTCCCAACGATATTTACCACTACCAGTGATAGACGCGTGCATATCACGTGGCTACCAGATGGAGTTCATATATCTATTATAGACAGCGAGTGAGCCGCTGTCAGTGCATGACCCAAACCCGTGGTCCATAAAACAAGACGGGAAGTTATTTTGATATTGATTAAATCTTTATGAAACCAAAACAAGCACAATTTGTAATAATCATTTTACGCTTCGATATAAATCGCGGGCAAGTGGCATCATGTAAACAGCCCCTTAATAAATTGGTTTATTAAATAATGATAAAATTCCCGGGATAAGTGTTAACACATGCATAAGTAAAATTAGCCATCGAATTAAGGCCCTGTTACACGGTGTAATTTTTCTTGCAACTTGCAATGCATTTCTACTTATGAGGTATGTTAATTAGTGAAAAATGTTAGATATGTGAAGACATCATCAGTGGAGAGTAACGAAGGCCGTGATTGCCAATTCTACATCCATCAAGAGTAGAACTGCATTACAAGTTGCAAGAAAATTGCATTGTGTAACAGGGTCTTTAGCCTAGCCGAGGCGAGTATATCTGTATGCACTATGGACGCATGCATGCATGTATGTAAAACCGTCGGCAATAAAGCCATGCGGTATTTCCCAGGTACGACTATAATGTTAACCTATGTTATCCCCCTCTCGTACCCAGGTCATTCCTCGTATACTGGGTCTTATTATTATAGATATCAATCATTGCCCTGGGCGCTGGCGTTAAACGGCATGTGAACAGCGTTGCTTTTTTGTCTCGAAATATGGTCGTCGAGCCGTGTGATCGGTGTCTTCCCTGTATATCCTAATAGTATTCTAGACTTAGAAATACCCTGTCGACTGTAACCTCATTGCATTGACTATAGGGTCAGTCAGTCAATGCCATGATTTAATTCCATATATAAACATTCTTATTTTTAATGAAACTCTCAGGTAATGCTCGTGTTAAGACACACTTGACGTATTATAAGGTTTTATTTTGATAAATTCATTATTAAGGACTATAAAAAAACTTAACTATGTATTGCATCATTGTGGTATTTGTAAAATCTCATTGCCTGATGCAATAAAAGTCGGGAAAACTGCGAAGCGCATTCAAACAAAGGAACTTTACAGGCTCAAAAAATAAATATGTATAATCAGGTTTACTGTTCAATTCTAACAAAGATAAAAATACTGAGATGTCCTGTGAAGATAAAGTCAAAGTGAGCGGCTGCATGCGCTACTCTGTGACTGTGGTAATATATCATGATGCAATATACTCAATATATACAGTATAAAGCTGAGTTAGAATCAGCGTTTTTCGTTTATTCCTTGTGTGTACGAGGAATTCCAGACAAGACAGAAAAGTAGATTTTGTTTTGCGCGAAAACAAAATATTTCCAATGCCACCGCTCTCTATGCATAAATCATGTTGTTATCTATTTCCTGATACCGCAACGATATTTCCCAGATCGCTGAGCATCTTGCTCATGCCTAGTATATAAGTGATATTAAATTGGTTCATATTAACTCACTGCTTTAGCTCTCATTAAACAAGCGCTTATCAACCTTATCGCGTTCTAGATGTTAATAAACAAATACTTGGAGTAGAGTGTATTATCGGTTGTTTAATTTTCATAAAAAAAAGAATCATACATTTCTACCGCCTTCGTATGTCCCCTTTCTAAGACAGGAAGAGCTTCATGGCAGGCTTAGCCTGTTGATTCGGAAACCAAAAGAAACTTCATGGCGAAACTTCGCGGTGTGATGATGTTTTACAGGAAGGGTAATTTGATCGGAATTTTGTTTGTTTAGCAGTCATCGTTATACCTGTCATTTCATGCTAGTCGATAGAGGAACATTATTTGGTTTCTTTCACCGTTAGTCATAGCACATTACACAAAAATTGCGCAGAATGGTTACATACCCCCAGCAGTCAATTTATCTGTTATTAAGCATGTATAAATCGTTACAATCAGTGTATGCTATGTTTATTACATTATTTCTTCACTATAACCAATATGTTATCGAGGTGTCTAGAATAATATTGTGTTTCACGAGGTCTTTAGTAGGCGGGTCGCAAACTATGCTAAAATGCTATATTTCACACCGTTCCGTCTTATTATTTACACATTTCTCATCGTGTTGACCAGTGTTATATTCTCGTTACGCTTGTTGTTCATGCATCTGTTGTAAGTTTGAAAACTTTAAATAGAGCGGCATTGTATCTCGATTGGCCCTGTATTGTTCTTGTCATCACAAGGTGGAATATGACTCCTCCGTTGAAGGATATCGGCATTAGATAATAATTGAAATTTTCCCTGATGTGTTGTAATAATAGGAAGTCATTGGTGGGTGTTCATTTTAGTCGATAGCGTCTGTGAGCCTTGAAACATTGTTTTCTTGGCCAGTTCTCCGACGATTTTCGATTTCTAATGGGGACTCTAAAATCAATGCGCTCTTGGCTATTCGTGGTTTCCGTCGCGTATTGTCTATGCTTAACGCGTGAGTATCTAACATTATTTTTCATTGTACGTCAAATTGTGATTTGTGGTATGTAGATATTTTACGAGGGATTCGCTATGTTAGAAGTTGTATGCGCCTTTTTGTATGAAACGTACTTATCTTGTGTGCGTGCGTTTCCTTTTTTTGGTGCGCGATCAATGATTCCATTTAGTCATAGAGTTGATGAGTTCTGCGCGCTGTGTGAGCATTTCAGTGTTCTTTACTTTTGGCATCCAAGTAAATTCTTTGATGTCGCCTCGGAAACGACCCGACATTTGCTCTTAATCATACTTGGCAATCATATTGATCATGACAAGCATTTTCGATTTTGATTTCTGTAATTGACGATAAACTTTGATTCTTACATTTTGATGTTTCTGTTTTTGATATTGATTGAGTTTATACTAGTCTCTGAGAATTGCGCGCAGTGATTGCGTTCAACTCTTAAAAAACGTATATAAAAAAACATGTTCGTTTTCACGATTCCGCGCGTGCAAAATCGATTCATGGGATCACATTCAAATAACATTTTTCCAATATTTTCAGTTCCTCAAATCGACTACATTTCGCCACTCGTTAGACTTTATTTGTGCAAGGTTTCAATTTTGGCAAATATCTGAAGCATGGTCGACTCGTAACGTGATACGCCCGTTTAATCACTGTCATGCTGTTGCCCCTAACTGACATATCTTATGGTGTTTGTTTGCGATAATTTTCTTTCCCGTACATGATTCATATTAAAAGCATGCAGAGGGACGTGTTTAACTTTGGTTTGTAAAGGTTTAGCATGCGATACACTTGCGTTTTACCACCGTTTTTCAAGATGAAATGCGCTTTATGTTTGTTTGCATACTTTTATTCATCATAATTATATAAGAAATAAAATAGCGTTTTTCAATACGAAAGTGCGTATTATAAGACAACGCGAATCGCTTGACGTTTATGGCGCACAATGAAACATGATTAAATTCATTGTCTGGCCTTCCCTTGATTGTGTCAATACAAGGCCTCTTTGTCTAAAACAGGCACTTGGGTATTACTAATTCCTTTAGCGATTAAGTCTTATCCCCAAACCTTATCAGTGTATCGAGTATTTGTTATGATTACTTCGATGTATGAATTCCTTATTGCTTGTTAAAGTATTGCGTGATAAGATAAGAGGATTCTGACATGTAGTCAAACGATTAAAATATCGATAGCGTATAAATGCTTCAAAAATAACCCAGGAGCAGCATGACAGCGTTTCGAATAACTTCATCAAATGTGGTATAACGACTGCTTAAAATAAACAAAAAAAATTCGACGCTTCGACCTACGGGCCTTCGTCAGTCAGACATTCAGAAGATTTAGTTACCACATGTAATATGTAACAGCATCTTAATTAAAGTTGAGTAAGCAAAAATGAGGTACATGTACTTAACGAAAAAAAAAATGGAGCATAGTCATGAAAAATATACCTATCTTTGACTGTGGCGGGTCTTCATGTCGAGAATCGTTTCATCTGACACGTCTTTTGACACGTGTGTTTGCTGACTCGTTTATCGAGGAGCATTGTAAGGATTATTAAAAACAACATGGCTATAAGGAACAAACGAGCTAAAGCCAATTTTATTTATTAGAAATATAGAGTGAAGGATGCGCTGCTTTCTCAGTCATGCATGCATGGAGATTCCCTTTATGAGATATTTAATTGGTATTATATGCGTTTGACATTTGCTGCTTATCTAGTTACCACCAATTAAAAATAGTTATAAAAATCACCAATAAGGGTTCCAAATTCACGTCATATACTTTGAGATTCCTCATTTGAATAATTCTGAGGATTTTCAAAAAAGAGGAAAATTAGCATTATTAGGCGCTAATCAGGTGACATAGATTTTGCCGCCGTGTGATTGCGATTCTTTATTAAAAACGTGCTCTTTTACGATAGGACTAATTAATCACATTTACTTTGCCAATTATAATCCAAATAAAATAAAACATAATTCTGTGCTGGTCCTTATGTCCGTTTGAATCGCTGGATAAAAATGTTCCACACCTTGACACTGCAATTATATCCGCCACACCTGTTGTTCGCTTTTTGAGTTCGCTGTCAGGCATGACAAGTCATTTTGATCATAATATATAGAAACAACATTCGAAAGTGATTGCTTTTAAACATCTGACAAATTTTACACGCCTTATACTAATATGATAAATAGGTTAGTCATTTCAACTTGTCATAGTGGATATATTCATAAGACATTTAACGCTTTAACGCTTATGCAAACTTGATAAAATGCGATTTGCAGAACACATTAAACCCCCATGAAATCCACTGCCACAGAATAGATATGTACTAAAAGCCTGCTTATAAATTTTTATCGGAACGTTCTTGGGAATGTTATGTCTGTGAATGTCACGAAGCTCCATGTCACGCCGCCATATGGTGCCGGAATGACGTCAGCATACGCTTCTAGCATATACATCAAGCATATACCGTATTCTGTGCTATTACTTTAAACAAGATATACATAAGAGGATATGCTAAAAAATCATTGAAATACTCCGAAAAGCGATCTAGTAAATTCGAGATATCTCATTTCTACCCCCCCCCTCCCCCTCTAAGCTCAACGGCACTGCTCTTTCCCTTTAAAAACCCCTGCTATATATACACATGCCACGCGTTAAAATCAAAACTAGTTTAAGTGTGCAAGGTGTTTCTTGTCAGATTTATATGTTATTTCTACCCTATTATCCATACACAACAACGTCTCGAGATTGCTATCAGTATTTTTTTACGTATTTACAAAGTCTTAGTTGTGTTAGTTTAACTCTCCTACAGTCCTAGCTTGGATTAACTTTCATTTTGGATTTGGCAAACAAATTTTCATATTAGTAAAAGATGAGACACCGGAGGTTATTATTTGGGTGGACGTCTTTAATAGACACCATTAACCGTGGATCGAATGAGATACTGACAGGAAATATTTGGTTTCCTATAATGATTATCATGAGTTACTACGAAATTAAGACATAATGTCGTGGTTGTTCATTAAAACGTCGCTGATGTACACATACATGCAAAACAAATCACTGATCCCAGAATAGATTATTTCTAAAACTATCACTTAATGTCTTTAGTGATACCTAAATACAGGCGTATAGGTTAACTGATGTGGTAATTAATTTTTTTTTTTAAACTAATATTCTGTAATTAAATCAGTATGAATAACATAGTTATCGACAGGTGAAATATGGTGAAAAATAACCTCTTTCTGTAAATATGAGAAAGTGTTTCACCAGCATTATTGGATTTACTGCATCAACGGATTCTTGATATGGCTCCATCTGTTTCTACGAAGTTATAGGATTTCAATTTGGCGTTGCCGCAAGGCGTTATTTGCTGGCTATTACGACATTACGTTATTCGATATAATTTCAAAGGATAGGCATTGACACTGTTTTTTTTTCTCGCATACACGCATATAAATAATAAGTAATATTTAAGTATTAATGTAAACACGAGAATGCTCGTATTATACGTATAGAGTATGTGTAGTATTTATATGGGAAAGGCCAAAGAATTTAGCACTATCACTCAATCACTATGCAGAGATTTCTCTTGCATCTGCGCAGTATTAAGGCCCCGTTTACAATATACCGGATTCGCTTGTCACGATATCTTCGTTCGCCTTTAAAGGACAATTAATGGTTAGTAGCAAATGCTTATTAGTTTGATATATTTGGTATATTTACTTTCATCTTTTATTGCAGTAAAATTTTTCACAGCATTTTAAAAGCTACAAAATTTGACCCACTCCGGAAGCAATCCGTAGTGCATGTAAACGCAGCCTGAGTTGTTTCCCAGGCACCACCAGAAACGAGAACTTTATCGATCAATATGAGTATATATCAAATTAATTAATCGCTAATGAGACGCGACCAGAGTGAGCCGTTGAAAGTTTTAATGTTCAAAAAAAGCACAGTCAATCTATTCATGAATACCAAGGTTAAGACCTTGAGTTCCCTTAGAAAGTACAGTATCAACATTGTTTCAAAGATTAATACTCATTTCTGTCGTAATTCTTATAAATATTTCCGCAAATACTCTCCTCCTTAGCTGGAATAAATAAGATTTGATATTCCCCGACGGATGCGTTTTGGCACCGCACTTAAGTAAACAATTTTTACGTTTTGAAATATCAAATTACCTTTTACCCATAGGGATCCAACGTTAACATACAGTTTCCCGAACAAAATCTTCTTTTCCAAATAGGCCCATGTTTATTAAGCAAAAAGTTCGATGGGCTGGTCATTCAAAATGTATTCAGTAACATAGTGCTGGGAATAAAATAGGCACAAAAGGAACTAAGAACTTGCTTTTTTTGGGACACACAACGTGTCGAAAATCAGCCAGTTTTATTTGAAGTCAATATAATTCCATCTTTCAATTTTAAACTGTGGATATGATTGATTGATCGTTTGACGGTGTCACAACCGCATTTTAAATAGCTAATAGGCTCTACAAGTTCAAGTAGCCTTTCATCTTTCACTCATCGTTTTCATGGGGGTATTTCAGCTGAAATCGCAAAATAAATTTCTCTGTACATTGTGTGTGATTATTGTGCTGATTGAATTCGAGCAAACGTCCGCACACAGGCCCGGACGAGACAAAAATTTTGACCTTCATTCTGATTAGAGAGAATAAATATATGAGCGAAGGAAGATGAATGAACGAATGTGTGATCCTGAAATCGGAAAATATCCCGAGATCTCATCCCGAGATATGACAGGGGATATTTACTTCCCCGCACAATTAGTAGGATTCTAGCATCCCTTTCAAAACAACTGCAGATGGGCCCGATTAATGCGGTACAAATTCCAATTGAAATACATTTCATAAGCACCGATTTAGGATTTATTTAGGAAGAAAACTTGAGGTCCAGTTTGTAAGTACTAAGTGACTGTTGGAAGTTCGTATTGTGCTTTTTTATTTCATCGCAAAGCAAAATATCAAAAAACTATGTCTATGCAGCAGAAAAGAGAAAACACTATAAGCCATTCCACCCACCAAGTTTAAGGCGATCAAAAGGATAAAAAATATCAGAATAATAAAAAAAATTAAAGTAAATTAAATGATCCAATTAACTTTAACGTACTTAACCATCCCAGGAACCCCTGCAACATGCATCAATGGCAACATGCATCACATTGAAATATTTCAAATTGCAGTATTTGAGATAAATTTATCACCTCGATTACACCTACGGTATGAACTATGTACATTTTGACGAACTGGTACTGAATTCAGTGAATTGTTTCAATTAGCTTTTCCCTTACATCTAGCCCCTAATAAGCGCCGTTTACTTTCCCAAATCATTTCGGCACCTTATTACAGTTTCATTTGAAATCCAAAGTGTTAATAGATTTTGATATACATACTAGAAGTGAAACAGTTTCATGCTTGTGCCCGGCATAACGCATGATAATCATAATAAGTCAGACACAGCATGGATTTCATATTCAATGGGAAATATGTTTGTATTTTGCAATGAATAATGGCAAAATTGGTCCTCATAAACTGTTCAAACAGCTTGAACACGATATTTTGTTTGTTCGGGAAACAAGGCGCGCGTCTTTGCCAGACTTTGGTTTACTCAGCATGCAATTTAAAATTTAAGAAGGAGACATGAATGACAAGGACTGATGTTACAATTAAATTCACAATAGCAATGCAAAGAAATGACTAAATGAGATCACGCCGTTTTACACGTCGTCCTAAGCCATAGCCTGCTTACGACAGTTATAATTTCAATTGCAACAATTGTCATTATAGGACAGGACGAGTGATATCTAGTTGCGTTCTACTAAAACAGAACTTTTCCTATTATGGTCCCAATTTCCCCCAAATCTAACTGAATTAAATGGTTAAAACTAACAGTTGACTAGAAGGTTTTTTCAATCTTACGAAGCTGTCAGTTTTGCCGTCTTTGATAGACGTTGCCGTTTTCAATCAGTGTTTTCAAGTCCCTAACATTTTAGAGATAACAAAGAAAGAAAACAATCAGGGTCTGCAAGCAGGCATTGATGATAATGACCAAAATGAGTGATATGCTTTTGCCACCTAATTATTTAAGGATATTATATGACTTCCTGTACTCTTCAGACGTGAAAGGCTACATTGATCCCACTGATATAGAAAGCCTGCTTTCTATGTACTCGTGATTGTGGTGAACACGTCAGGGTGGTTGATGTAGTAGAATATTTCATCGTGTGTGCGGTAATACAGAAAAAACAGGAAATAAAGGATACAATAATAAAACACAGGAAATAAAGACAAATTTGGAAACGGAGTATTTTTCATCGCTGAAAATGACTTGCTTTCAGTAGCTTGATTTTCAAGCCGGAATATTTAATTTTAGGCTCAGTAAGATTCTCTTTAAGGCATCCCAATCCCCCTTGTGAAATACAGTTTCCAATAATAGTTTCCAATTTTCAGCCGTAACGTCTCAAGAGAAAAAGAACTGCAAGCCAGGGCGATGTCCTGCGTTTAAAGGAGGAAGGATATGCCCAGAACAATTTGAAATAGATGATGAATGTCATGACGATTTCGAATGCACTGGTAACAAGAAATGTTGCTCTGATGGCTGTCAGTTAAAATGCTTGGCTCCTTCCTCAGGTATTATTTTAACCAGAGTGATTCTCCACTGTTTCGCAAAAGAGTGTGAAAAATACTTTTAACTATGTGTTGTTCTTAAAATAAAATTACTAAACCAATAAGATTACCGTTGCCTGCGTCATAAACGGGAAGGTAGACCAGAAAATATATGGTTTTCGCTTGGCATATGTGTAAAGCCTTTAGTGACCTAGACTTATAGCTATCTGAAAAAAGAACCCAGGGTACGACTGTCCAGCTGATCTGAGATCATGACGTCATAAGGCGTCTCGACAAAACTGAGTTATCATACGCCTGGAGTTATTTGTCCTTATTCTTCTAACTAACAGTATAAAGGGCGAAAATTCTAAATTCTAATTTACAGTTGGAAAAAAAAGCGTGTTTTCGCTTAAATATAATAAACTTACTTGATATTTTCGCGTGTCGAAGTCATATGCAATGAAGGAAATGATAATTCAGTTTTGGCAAAGATCTGGCTTCTGATTGGTTGATTTTTACACCCAGATCAGATGGATCTGATAGAAACTAATATTCTCCATTGTTTGCAGTGGACACTGAGCCCAAGCCAAATGATCTAGAGCAATATTGTAAACCCGGGGAATGTCCGCTCTTTGCAATTCGTGACGACTGCCCCCACTTCTGGGAATTACAAGATGATTGTTACTTTGACTTTCAATGTCCTAAGGATCAAAAGTGCTGCTCTGATGGCTGCGAACTACGTTGTATGGCTATAAAAGGTATTTCCTCGGAAATATTTAATAAATATTATGTATAGCGATTTACACTCAGTAGAAATATAAAAAAATCCTCCCTCAATCAGTAATGAGTGAAATCCTCCTTCTTCACTAATGAAACATTATCGTACGGCGGCAATTTTGTTCACTTTTTTTGGGTGGGGGACAGTGACAGCTTTTAGTCCACCCCAGTGAATGTCTCTTTTCAGTGTCAATATTAGCACAAAACCATGTTCATACTAAAGTAATGATATTCTCTCAACAAACCTCGCTCCGCTTAGGTGAACTCCCCAAACAACTCCCAAATCTTTATATTACCAACCATTTTGTTCATACCTACTAGCCACCCACACTTCCCACTAACGATTACTAAATCAAATAAGATTGAGAATCAAAATTGAGAATCGAAATATAATTTTAGCATTGAGAATCAAAATATAATGTTAAAATTCAAGACATGTTCACTTTCAATACATAATAATTTTTTCGAAAAGAATATCTACCTTCCACAAAATTACGACGAAACTAAGGGCGCTTCTTTTATACGGTAAAAACGACCAGACCGGTCCTGTTGTATTTCAGTATAGACAGATTACTAGTATTTTACAGAGTTTCAAGAACTCTGCATTCAAGTAATATCGTTATTTACACAGGAAACGCAGTTTCACCGCTATATTCTCAACAAAATACTCTATTTCAATTCAAAACGTGAATATTTTGTAATGGTAGGGCCCTAAATGACAATGAATATGTTATTCGTTATTAGTCTATTTCCGGCCAAATTTTCTTTGTAACGTTTGATTGTTTCTGCTTTTTCTTCCAACACGACCGCATTCCGCTTAAAATAAATATCCGTGTTTGCAATGCGTGTGAATGTATTCTCTTTTTTGCAGTGAACGTCACAATTGCTGCTCCTACTACTAAGCCTACGGGTAAGTCTTTTTCTCTTACGTATACAGTTACTAACTATAATTTTACACCAATAATTCGGGATAATACTCAAAGCCACAATGATTGTTCGTTTAAAGCCACAATGATTGTTCGTTTTGATCACCATCGATTCATTTCTATATTTTTAATTTAATCGGATTATAATCTTTCAAAACATCGTTCTCTTTATACACGTCGTATAATGTTTATGCGTTACGCGATTGGCATTGCGAATTTCTATAGTGGCTCTGGTTTTGCTTATACTACTGCATACGCTATACAGGCTGCAATTACTGCTATACAGGCTGCAATGAATTATAAACCGATGAGAAACTATTTAAAAAGTCGTTCACTATATTAAGTAAAGAACTAAAAATCAATATTGGTGTATAAAATTACCATTAGACCACGAACTACAGTGCCATTGCCATCGATAATTGGGGGGGGGGGACATATGTTGTATTTGACCAACTTCTTTTGAAATCGATTGTCTTTACTGTCTGTTAACTGAGGTGAATATATGAATATGTCCCCTCCCAATTATCGTCGTTGGCTACGCCATCGTGTAGTTATCGTAGGTACAAAGTGACTCCTGAAAATAAACTTACAAAATACACTAAAAGAGACGCGAAGTGAAGGCAGGGATGCTAAAACAGGAAGTTCAACTAAAGAATGGGCTAAAAAACGTGCAAGCACCCTATCCACAATCCCAGAATTACAGTCACGCGACTTAAATCCCTTGTCCTTTCGTTTTTCCGGCGTCCTACAGCAAACGACACCCGTCTGAAATATTGCTGTCTTTCTACCAAAGAAACAATGTTTTTACCCTGGTATTTACATTATTCTGGTTTTACAGGTCCAGATCCAACAAAGGATATCTGTAAGTATAACCAGTTGAAATTATTCAGGTGTATATACAGCCACTTAACTACCGATCCGAGATGTTTAACGCAACCTAAATGTAATTTAAACAGTCAAATCCTAGCTTTATAAATAATGGTAAAAGAACGAATTGGAGTGGTTACAGAATCAACCAACCGCGTAACGGAAGGTTGATTTGTTATCAGCAAGTATGATTTTTTAAAATATTTTTTAAAAATACAATTTTTTAAACTTTTGTCAAGACAATGCATGGTGAATTTTCAAAATTTAACTTCCACAATTTTATTTTTTTGTCCACAATACATATGTAAATACTGGGGTTGATTTTCATTGAGGGAAGTTACGTCTCACATGCAAATGGCGCAATTATTACTCTGGTTGTTACTTACTTCCGTTTGTAATACTTCAGTTGTAGGTGTTACTGAAACAACCAAATCAACAGCAGGTATGTAACCCTAATTGCATAAGAAAATGATTTAATTTTAATTGAATAAAGTATGTGGACAAGTGGACAGTTTCTTAGACAGTTCATTAAACTGATTTAACTTGCAATGTTACTATTGTACAGTATTATATAAAGTTATCAGCTCCCAACTGTCGTCTCCCTTGGCAAAACAGCATTTGGCCCCTGTACTGTACAATATCGTAGCGACATAATTCAGTAACACCCCAGCATATAAGTGGAGTGTTTCAAACAAGGTTTTATGCAATGATTATGAACAATATGCAAACCGCCGAAAAATCTTGTTCGCAAGTCGTGAAATAAACTACGGTTTAAAAACACGTAGGCCTGTAGGCCCTGTATACGTCATTCATGACAAATAGCTGAACTCACAAAGGGTTAGGATGCACCAGATATAGAATTTAATGTCTTTATTAAACTTTACTAACGAACTTTACTAACGATGTTTCGTCAATTCGTAGAAATGCGAGTAACGACTGGAGTTATTACTTCCGATGTGGTCACTCCATTCTTTCCCACTGGAACAACTGAGATTTTACCAACGGGTATTAGCATATTACTATATTGTATAGTTTTAAATACGGTAGAATTTTGTTAAGGCAAGACGAGGCAGAGGCAGGGGTGGATACAGCACTGCACACAAGAAAACTGATGGTCAGAAGAAAACTACTAAAAATAACCACTTTGTTTTGTAATGCAATAATTTGCACTAGTGCTGGATCAACCCCAGCCGCAGGGGAACATTTTGCTATAGATCTATCGACCTTTCGAAAAAACTCCTGGCAAGGCATAATTTTGCCGAATTGGCAACCTATTCGCATTAGCCAATCAGAAACATGCTTGCAAACTACGTCAAAATGCACAATGTTAAAGAAGTCTATAATGCATGCCTATACTGTAAATTCGCAGACAACTTTCAAACTACTGGCAATGCCATGGAAAAACATGCAAACACGAAATGTTCTTTAGCGAGTTTAAGTTTAAAAATATTCCGCACGCCACGGTTTGTTGGATAACGTTTCTTATCAATTAAATGCTCTTTCATCTTTTACTTTAGAAACCTACTATTTCCGCGTGGTTATATACAACGCTTATCGCTTCGACGTAACTGTAACGACGTCCTTGAAAGAAGAAAAATATAGGACATTTGTTATTCCAGGACAACAGAACAAAACGATCGACATTGAAAGGGCCAGTTCAGAAAACGTAAAATTCACCGCAAAAAACCCATCAGACCAGCCTGTTCTATTAAATAATGCTTTTTCACAGCAAATTCCCGGGACACGTTCATACCAAGCTCCGCAAAACATCTATATCGGCGCTCGAGGTAAGTTCATGTAGCCTGCCCTGTAAAAATCATATCGTGACTCACGTCACTGGAAATTTCTTTCAAAATTCATGTTATGGAGAAAGTATGGAGAGTATGGAATTTTATATTATCCATACCAATTGCCATTTCTATAGAAATAGTATGGGTGTATGGTCCGTTGGAGTTATGCGCTTTATTTCGATGAATGTAGTAGACACGTAATCGTATAGTTTTGACTTTTGATTGTTTATTAACACTGATACTGATACTATTCAATATATATATATACAATATTGAGAATTATAAGTAAAGTAATAATGTAAATGAGTTAAGAAATTAATCGTTGCTACTTACTTCTTTGGCGTGTCCTCAGGGCTACATTCAACATTTATCTGGTTAGCAATACAATACAGGTTAGCAATACAGGTGTCGACAATACAGGTTAGCTTTACTTTTAGATCCTTTTGATAGGAGTTCCTAGCTTCATTTGGCTTTAACTTTAACATGCAATCTACTTTTCGTGTCAACTGACACATGTCATTGTCACAAACTAATATAAACAGAACTAATATAACATAACTAATGTACCTTATTTAATTAATCTATAATTGTTTCCTGAGTACCTCACGAACCAGTGTAGCATATTTACACAATACGGATGTTGCAAAAAATTTCCAGTGAAACGATATCCAAAGAATTTATTCAAAAAACTAATTTATAAAAAATAGATTTACTAAATAGTCGAGATCATTCTTCTGTAGTGACAACCAAGGCACCTGAGGTGGTAACTGAGGCTCCTGAAATGGTAACAGAAGCTCCTGAAGTGGTAACAAAAGCTCCTGAAGTAACAACAAAAGCTCCTGAAGTAGTAACAGAATCTCCTGAAGTGGTAACAAAAGCTCCTGAAGTAACAACAAAAGTTCCTGAAGTGGAAACAGATGCTCCTGAAATGACAACAAAAGCCGCTGAAGTGGTAACAAAAGCCCCTGAAGTGGTAACAGAAGCCCCTGAAGTGGTAACAGAAGCTCCGGAAGTGGTAACAGAAGCTCCTGAAGTCGAAACAGATGCTCCCGAAGTGACAACAAAAGCCCCTGAAGAAGTAACGGAAGCTCCTGAAGTAACAACAAAAGCTCCTGGAGTGGAAACAGAAGCTCCTGAAGTTATGACAGAAGCTCCTCAAGTGGTAACGGAAGCTCCTGAAAAGACAACAAAAGCTCCCGAAGTGGTAACAGAAGCTCCCGAAGTTGTAACAGAAGCTCCTCAAGTGGTAACACAAGCTCCTGAAGTGGTAACGGAAGCTCCAAAAAAGACAACAAAAGCTCCCGAAGTGGTAACAGAAGCTCCCGAGGTTGTAACAGAAGCTCCTCAAGTGGTAACACAAGCTCCTGAAGTGGTAACGGAAGCTCCAGAAAAGACAACAAAAGCTCCTGAAGTGTTAACAGAAGCCCCTGAAGTGGTAACAGAAGCTCCTCAAGTGGTAACACAAGCTCCTGAAGTGGTAACGCAAGCTCCTGAAAAGACTACAAAAGCTCCTGAAGTGGGAACAGGAGCTCCTGAAGTTGTAACAGAAGCTCCTCAAGTGGTAACAAAAGCTCCTGAAGTGGTGACAGAAGCTCCTGGAGTGGTAACGAAAGCTCCTGAAGTAACAACAAAAGCTCCTGACGTCGTGACAGAAGCGCCTGAAGTTGTCACAGATGCTCCTCAAGTTACAACAAAAGCTCCTGAAGTGGTCACAGAAGCTCCTGAAGTGGTCACAGATGCCCCTGAAGTGGTAACGAAAGCTCCTGAAGTGGTCACAGATGGCCCCGACGTGGTCACAGAAGCTCCTGAAGTGGTAACAGAAGCTCCGGAAGTGGTAACAGAAGCCCCTGAAGTGGTAACGGAAGCACCTAAAGTGGTAACACAAGCTCCTGAAGTGGTAACAGAAGCTCCGGAAGTGGTAACAGAAGCTCCTGAAGTGGTAACAGAAGCTCCTGAAGTGGTAACAGAAGCTCCGGAAGTGGTAACACAAGCTCCTGAAGTGGTAACACAAGCTCCTGAAGTGGTAACAGAAGCTCCGGAAGTGGTAACAGAAGCCCCTGAAGTGGTAACAGAAGCTCCTGAACTGGTCACAGATGCCCCTGAAGTGGTAACGGAAGCTCCTGAAGTGGTCACAGAAGCTCCTGAAGTGGTAACAGAAGCTCCGGAAGTGGTAACAGAAGCTCCTGAAGTGGTAACAGAAGCTCCTGAAGTGGTAACAGAAGCTCCGGAAGTGGTAACACAAGCTCCTGAAGTGGTAACAGAAGCTCCTGAAGTGGTAACAGAAGCTCCGGAAGTGGTAACAGAAGCCCCTGAAGTGGTAACAGAAGCACCTAAAGTGGTAACACAAGCTCCTGAAGTGGTAACGGAAGCTCCTGAAAAGACAACAAAAGCACCTGAAGTGAAAACAGAAGCCCCTGAAGTGGTGACAGATGCTCCTGAATTGGTAACGGATGTTCCTGCAAAGGCTACAAAAGCTCCTGAAGTGGGAACAGGAGCTCCTGAAGTTGTAACAGAAGCTCCTCAAGTGGTAACACAAGCTCCTGAAGTGGTAACGGAAGCTCCTGAAAAAACAACAAAAGGTCCCGAAGTGGTGACAGATGCCCCTGAAGTTGTGACAGATGCTCCCGAAGTGATAACGGATGCTCCCGAAGTGGTGACAGATGCTCCCGAAGTGGTAACAGAAGCCCCTGAAGTTGTGACAGATGCTCCCGAAGTAGTAACGGAAGCTCCTGAAGTGGTAACAGAAGCCCCTGAAGTGGTGACAGATGCTCCCGAAGTTGTAACACAAGCTCCCGAAGTGGTGACAGATGCTCCCGAAGTGGTAACAGAAGCTCCTGAAGTGGTGACAGATGCTCCCGAAGTGGTAACAGATGCTCCCGAAGTGGTGACAGATGCTCCCGAAGTGGTAACTGATGCTCCTCATGTGATGACAGATGCTCCCGAAGTGGTAACGGATGCTCCCGAAGTGGTGACAGATGCTCCCGAAGTGGTAACAGAAGCCCCTGAAGTTGTGACAGATGCTCCTGAAGTAGTAACAGAAGCTCCTGAAGTGGTAACAGAAGCCCCTGAAGTGGTCACAGATGCTCCCGAAGTTGTAACAGAAGCTCCCGAAGTGGTGACAGATGCTCCCGAAGTAGTAACAGAAGCTCCTGAAGTGGTAACAGAAGCCCCTGAAGTGGTCACAGATGCTCCCGAAGTTGTAACAGAAGCTCCCGAAGTGGTGACAGATGCTCCCGAAGTAGTAACAGATGCTCCCGAAGTGGTAACGGATGCTCCCGAAGTGGTGACGGATGCTCCCGAAGTGGTGACGGATGCTCCTGAAGTGGTGACGGATGCTCCCGAAGTGGTGACAGATGCCCCTGAAGTTGTGACAGATGCTCCCGAAGTGGTGACGGATGCTCCTGAAGTGGTGACAGATGCTCCCGAAGTGGTAACAGAAGCCCCTGAGGTTGTGACAGATGCTCCCGAAGTAGTAACAGAAGCTCCTGAAGTGGTAACAGAAGCCCCTGAAGTGGTGACAGATGCTCCCGAAGTTGTAACAGAAGCTCCCGAAGTGGTGACAGATGCTCCCGAAGTTACAACAGAAACTCCTGTAGTGGTGACAGATGCTCCCGAAGTTGTAACAGAAGCTCCTGAAGTGGTAACTGATGCTCCCGAAGTGACAACAAAAGCCCCTGATGTGCTAACAGAAGGCCCTGAAGTGGGAACAGGAGCTCCTGAAGTTGTAACAGAAGCTCCTCAAGTCGTAACGCAAGCTCCTGATGTGGTAACGGAAGCTCCTGAAAAGACAACAAAAGCTCCTGCAGTGGAAACAGAAGCTCCTGAAGTGGTAACAGATACTCCCGAAGTGACAACAAAAGCCCCTGAAATGGTAACAGAAGCCCCTGAAGTGGTGACAGATGCTCCCGAAGTTGTAACAGAAGTTCCCGAAGTGGTGACAGATGCTCCCGAAGTGGTAACAGATGCTCCCGAAGTGGTAACAGATGCTCCCGAAGTGGTGACAGATGCTCCCGAAGTGGTAACAGATGCTCCCGAAGTGGTGACAGATGCTCCCGAAGTGGTAACAGATGCTGCCGAAGTGGTGACAGATGCTCCCGAAGTGGTAACTGATGCTCCTGATGTGGTGACAGATGCTCCCGAAGTGGTAACGGATGCTCCCGAAGTGGTGACAGATGCTCCCGAAGTGGTAACAGAAGCCCCTGAAGTTGTGACAGATGCTCCCGAAGTAGTAACTGAAGCTCCTGAAGTGGTAACAGAAGCCCCTGAAGTGGTCACAGATGCTCCCGAAGTTGTAACAGAAGCTCCCGAAGTGGTGACAGATGCTCCCGAAGTGGTAACAGAAACTCCTCAAGTGGTGACAGATGCTCCCGAAGTGGTAACAGATGCTCCCGAAGTGGTGACAGATGCTCCCGAAGTGGTAACTGATGCTCCTCATGTGATGACAGATGCTCCCGAAGTGGTAACGGATGCTCCCGAAGTGGTGACAGATGCTCCCGAAGTGGTAACAGAAGCCCCTGAAGTTGTGACAGATGCTCCTGAAGTAGTAACAGAAGCTCCTGAAGTGGTAACAGAAGCCCCTGAAGTGGTCACAGATGCTCCCGAAGTTGTAACAGAAGCTCCCGAAGTGGTGACAGATGCTCCCGAAGTAGTAACAGAAGCTCCTGAAGTGGTAACAGAAGCCCCTGAAGTGGTCACAGATGCGCCCGAAGTTGTAACAGAAGCTCCCGAAGTGGTGACAGATGCTCCGGAAGTAGTAACAGATCCCGAAGTGGTAACGGATGCTCCCGAAGTGGTCACGGATGCTCCCGAAGTGGTGACGGATGCTCCTGAAGTGGTGACAGATGCTCCCGAAGTGGTGACAGAAGCCCCTGAAGTGGTCACAGAAGCTCCCGAAGTTGTAACAGAAGCTCCCGAAGTGGTGACAGATGCTCCCGAAGTAGTAACAGATGCTCCCGAAGTGGTAACGGATGCTCCGAAGTGGTGACGGATGCTCCCGAAGTGGTAACAGAAGCCCCTGAAGTTGTGACAGATGCTCCTGAAGTAGTAACAGAAGCTCCTGAAGTGGTAACAGAAGCCCCTGAAGTGGTCACAGATGCTCCCGAAGTTGTAACAGAAGCTCCCGAAATGGTGACAGATGCTCCCGAAGTAGTAACAGAAGCTCCTGAAGTGGTAACAGAAGCCCCTGAAGTGGTCACAGATGCGCCCGAAGTTGTAACAGAAGCTCCCGAAGTGGTGACAGATGCTCCGGAAGTAGTAACAGATGCTCCCGAAGTGGTAACGGATGCTCCCGAAGTGGTCACGGATGCTCCCGAAGTGGTGACGGATGCTCCTGAAGTGGTGACAGATGCTCCCGAAGTGGTAACAGAAGCCCCTGAAGTGGTCACAGAAGCTCCCGAAGTTGTAACAGAAGCTCCCGAAGTGGTGACAGATGCTCCCGAAGTAGTAACAGATGCTCCCGAAGTGGTAACGGATGCTCCCGAAGTGGTGACGGATGCTCCCGAAGTGGTAACAGAAGCCCCTGAAGTTGTGACAGATGCTCCTGAAGTAGTAACAGAAGCTCCTGAAGTGGTAACAGAAGCCCCTGAAGTGGTCACAGATGCTCCCGAAGTTGTAACAGAAGCTCCCGAAGTGGTGACAGATGCTCCCGAAGTAGTAACAGAAGCTCCTGAAGTGGTAACAGATGCTCCCGAAGTGGTGACGGATGCTCCCGAAGTGGTGACGGATGCTCCTGAAGTGGTGACGGATGCTCCCGAAGTGGTGACAGATGCCCCTGAAGTTGTGACAGATGCTCCCGAAGTGGTGACGGATGCTCCTGAAGTGGTGACAGATGCTCCCAAAGTGATAACGGATGCTCCCGAAGTGGTGACAGATGCTCCCGAAGTGGTAACAGAAGCCCCTGAAGTTGTGACAGATGCTCCTGAAGTAGTAACAGAAGCTCCTGAAGTGGTAACAGAAGCCCCTGAAGTGGTCACAGATGCTCCCGAAGTTGTAACAGAAGCTCCCGAAGTGGTGACAGATGCTCCCGAAGTAGTAACAGAAGCTCCTGAAGTGGTAACAGAAGCCCCTGAAGTGGTCACAGATGCGCCCGAAGTTGTAACAGAAGCTCCCGAAGTGGTGACAGATGCTCCGGAAGTAGTAACAGATGCTCCCGAAGTGGTAACGGATGATCCCGAAGTGGTCACGGATGCTCCCGAAGTGGTGACGGATGCTCCTGAAGTGGTGACAGATGCTCCCGAAGTGGTAACAGAAGCCCCTGAAGTGGTCACAGAAGCTCCCGAAGTTGTAACAGAAGCTCCCGAAGTGGTGACAGATGCTCCCGAAGTAGTAACAGATGCTCCCGAAGTGGTAACGGATGCTCCCGAAGTGGTGACGGATGCTCCCGAAGTGGTAACAGAAGCCCCTGAAGTTGTGACAGATGCTCCCGAAGTAGTAACAGAAGCTCCTGAAGTGGTAACAGAAGCCCTGAAGTGGTCACAGATGCTCCCGAAGTTGTAACAGAAGCTCCCGAAGTGGTGACAGATGCTCCCGAAGTAGTAACAGAAGCTCCTGAAGTGGTAACAGAAGCCCCTGAAGTGGTCACAGATGCGCCCGAAGTTGTAACAGAAGCTCCCGAAGTGGTGACAGATGCTCCGGAAGTAGTAACAGATGCTCCCGAAGTGGTAACGGATGCTCCCGAAGTGGTCACGGATGCTCCCGAAGTGGTGACGGATGCTCCTGAAGTGGTGACAGATGCTCCCGAAGTGGTAACAGAAGCCCCTGAAGTGTCACAGAAGCTCCCGAAGTGTAAAGAAGCTCCCGAAGTGGTGACAGATGCTCCCGAAGTAGTAACAGATGCTCCCGAAGTGGTAAGAGATGCTCCCGAAGTGGTGATGGATGCTCCGAAGTGGTGACGATGCTCCTGAAGTGGTGACGGATGCTCCCGAAGTGGTGACGATGCCCCTGAAGTTGTGACAGATGCTCCTGAAGTGGTGACGGATGCTCTGAAGTGGTGACAGATGCTCCCGAAGTGGGTAACAGAAGCCCTGAGGTTGTGACAGATGCTCCCGAAGTAGTACAGAAGCTCCTGAAGTGGTAACAGAAGCCCTGAGTGGTGACAGATGCTCCCGAAGTTGTAACAGAAGCTCCCGAAGTGGTGACAGATGCTCCGAAGTAGTAACAGATGCTCCCGAAGTGGTAACGGATGCTCCGAAGTGGTAACGGATGCTCCCGAAGTGGTAACAGAAGCCCCTGAAGTTGTGACAGATGCTCCTGAAGTAGTAACAGAAGCTCCTGAAGTGGTAACAGAAGCCCCTGAAGTGTCACAGATGCTCCCGAAGTTGTAACAGAAGCTCCCGAAGTGGTGACAGATGCTCCGAGTAGTAACAGAAGCTCCTGAGTGGTAACAGAAGCCCCTGAAGTGGTCACAGATGCGCCCGAAGTTGTAACAGAAGCTCCCGAAGTGGTGACAGATGCTCCGGAGTAGTAACAGATGCTCCCGAGTGGTAACGGATGCTCCCGAAGTGGTCACGGATGCTCCCGAAGTGGTGACGGATGCTCCTGAAGTGGTGACAGATGCTCCCGAAGTGGTAACAGAAGCCCCTGAAGTGGTCACAGAAGCTCCCGAAGTTGTAACAGAAGCTCCCGAAGTGGTGACAGATGCTCCCGAAGTAGTAACAGATGCTCCCGAAGTGGTAACGGATGCTCCGAAGTGGTGACGGATGCTCCCGAAGTGGTGACGGATGCTCCTGAAGTGGTGACGGATGCTCCCGAAGTGGTGACAGATGCCCCTGAAGTTGTGACAGATGCTCCTGAAGTGGTGACGGATGCTCCTGAAGTGGTGACAGATGCTCCCGAAGTGGTAACAGAAGCCCCTGAAGTTGTGACAGATGCTCCCGAAGTAGTAACAGAAGCTCCTGAAGTGGTAACAGAAGCCCCTGAAGTGGTGACAGATGCTCCCGAAGTTGTAACAGAAGCTCCCGAAGTGGTGACAGATGCTCCCAAAGTTACAACAGAAACTCCTGTAGTGGTGACAGATGCGCCCGAAGTTGTAACAGAAGCTCCTGAAGTGGTAACTGATGCTCCCGAAGTGACAACAAAAGCCCCTGATGTGCTAACAGAAGGCCCTGAAGTGGGAACAGGAGCTCTTGAAGTTGTAACAGAAGCTCCTCAAGTCGTAACGCAAGCTCCTGATGTGGTAACGGAAGCTCCTGAAAAGACAACAAAAGCTCCTGCAGTGGAAACAGAAGCTCCTGAAGTGGTAACAGATACTCCCGAAGTGACAACAAAAGCCCCTGAAATGGTAACAGAAGCCCCTGAAGTGGTGACAGATGCTCCCGAAGTTGTAACAGAAGTTCCCGAGGTAGTGACAGATGCTCCCGAAGTGGTAACAGAAGCTCCTGAAGTGGTGACAGATGCTCCCGAAGTGGTAACAGATGCTCCCGAAGTGGTGACAGATGCTCCCGAAGTGGTAACTGATGCTCCTGATGTGGTGACAGATGCTCCCGAAGTGGTAACGGATGCTCCCGAAGTGGTAACAGAAGCCCCTGAAGTTTTGACAGATGCTCCCGAAGTAGTAACTGAAGCTCCTGAAGTGGTAACAGAAGCCCCTGAAGTGGTCACAGATGCTCCCGAAGTTGTAACAGAAGCTCCCGAAGTGGTGACAGATGCTCCCGAAGTGGTAACAGAAACTCCTCAAGTGGTGACAGATGCTCCCGTAGTGACAACAGAAGCTCCTGAAGTGGTAACAGATGCCCCCGAAGTGACAACAAAAGCCCCTGAAGTGGTAACAGAAGCTCCTGAAGTGGTGACAGATGCTCCCGAAGTGACAGAAGCTCCTGAAGTTTTCACAAAAACTGTAACTCCTGGAGGTAAGATTTTCTAAAACGGGTACAATTTTTCTCTTTTCAAATGATTTTTTGGATAGCTTTTATGGAACTGCGGAAATTGGCTTCTGCCGAAAAAACGTTAAATTTTGTGTGGGAAAATTTTTATAAATACGCAACAAAATATAATTTGCACAGAAGATATCAAGCTTGCACTGAGTAAGAACACATGCGATCTCAAGCTCGTCCGCTTAATCTTTTTTGGCCATTTGTAATTGACAATGATAGTAAAGGAAAGATCGTTGTAAATGTTTTCTTTAGATTCGATTTTTTTTATTTTTTGCACACAAAATGACAGCGATCATGTGGAAATCTTTCTTTGTTTTTTAAAATATTTCCTAGTTTGTGAAAAATGTTTATTTCTTTAAAATATATTTTGGTGACAAAAACAAGCCTTGTTACAGAACTCGTTTTTTTATATCGTGTTCGTTTAGCAGAATGCCTGTTTCCTTGGTTATAACCGGGCTGTCATGTTTTTCGAACAAAATCGTTCATTCGAAATTGAAGAAGATTGATTTTTTACGTTAGGTCATTAAACTATAGAATGCATTGGAAACAGATGAAGTGTCTTACAACATATATTGATATTGCTGTGACTATATATGCTAATTTTTTAACCAAAGCTGCTCTGGTTAAACATCCCCTGCTGGGGCCGGTTGTATCAAATCTATCGTTTTATTCAACAAGCGAACTAAATGTTTTTGACCATAATAAAAAGATACTGTTTACAACTACATATTCAGTGCAGAATATTCAATTTGACTCATTCAAAAGAGACGTAAGAGTGGTATTTAAATTTGACTTATCCGCCGTTTAAGCTAAATGGGCTTGATACAACCGACCCCTGGTCTCAATGTCGTAATTATGAAAATCAGGTGGGGCTGTCTATATGTGCATCCAACTGAATCCAGTAAAAGAATTTGCCAGAGCTGGTCGCACTGATTAATATGTTATGAGACACTTGATAATATACTTCATAATTGTTATTTCTTTTTCATGGTATATTATTAGCTAAATTTACTATTACTATTTTAGTCACTTACAACTTGGATGTTACTATTGTGAATGACTATGGAAGAGCTGTCAGAATTTTATCAAACCATATGAAATATCAAAAATTTGAAATCCCTGTTGGCGGAAGGTATCAAATAAAGTCAAGTTCATCTGAAAGAAAAACAATATATATTAGTGCATTTGATGTTGAAACATTTGATCCAGTCAAGATAGACGGAAAGAACTCACTCGCTGTAACCAACAGTATCGAATCAATAGCTCGCATCTATTATATTCCTTCAGGTAAACAGAGAGCTCAGCTAATGTGTACATGGATTTCTCAATTGAAATATTCTAACTTGTGCAGTAATACCCAATCATTAAAGCAGTCAAACTTACATATGATCCTTTTTCATTTCGAACAGCTCCAACAGCACCACCACAAGTTTCAACGAAAAGTTTACCAACCCCTGTTACTGGTATCGGTAAGGTTCACTCATATTCATATAGTTGATTTTCCATATAATTGCGTGGTTTAAAACTTTAATACTCCACAGATACCAGTGAAGCTCCCGAAGTGACTACAAAAGCTGCAACTAGTGCTCCTTCTGTTTTTACTGGAAAAGGTATTGTTGTTTATGTTTTCTTAATTGCATTGTTGCAAGCGATAGTTCGTCTTCTAGTTCATATGTGTGTAAACACGTTCAAACAGACGGATCATCCTTCAACACGAATTATCTGCATAATTCATCTGTTTAAGCGAATTTGGATGAGTAGTTCGTCTTGACGCATCATTTGTCTGTTGGTATATAAATACATAAAAAATTCATCAAAAAAGAGCTCTTTTGCACCCTTCTTACTACATAAATAATTTCCGAATTCCTGTACACTAACTAAACGCGCAATTCTGTTTCGTTTGACATATTTGTCTATATACATATGGAGTTCGTGAAGTCGTCTAGATAGTTTGTCGGTTTATAATCAGACGAATGATGTCAGAAGGATACTGATTCGTCCAGACGGATGATCCGTCTCTGGTATGAATTGGCCATCGTAATATTTAAATTGCAATCAGGGCTGAAGATAAAGCGATATTGGGGGGGGGAGGGGGTTCTCGTTGCTGTGAATATTCATATCCGATTTATACTAGAGACGGATCATCCGTCTGGACGAACATGGGCAAGCGAAAGATAGTTCCTCTTCTAGTTCGTCTGTGTGTAAACACGGGCAAACAGACGGATAGTTTCGGCCGTGATTAAAATCGACAAACCAAGTTTGAATCGCAATCTTAATACAGATATCACTACATACCATAAAATTTGATTGATAATGATACGAAATATATTATTATAATTATATATATATATATATATATATATATATATATATATATATATATGTAAATTGTTCATGTAAATTATATATATATATATATATATATATATATATATATATATATATATATATATAGTCATTTCAAAAAAGGTTGACCTTCCAAAATATATGAATCTTGAACATTGAGCGCGGAAGGGATGATGGGTAGCAACTTATTTTGGGTGTTTAATCCCGCAAATATCGCTTGGAACAATGAAAAGTGACCTACACAGCATTTCACTGGCTGTAGCCATTGCTAAAATTCAATTTTTGCACTGTTAAGGCACAAAATAAGCTGCTACCCATCATCCCTTGCACGCTCAATGTTCAAGGTTCATATATTTTGGAAGATCAGCCTTTTTTGAAATGACTGTATATATATATATATATATATATATAATATATATAATATATATATCTATATCTATATCTATATATATATATATATATATATATATATATATATATATATATATATATTCATATATATATATATATATATATTTATTTATTTACACGAATATATGACTAAATCATGTCCATTAACAGTATTATATTTCGTGCATCAGCCTATTGGGGAAGAGAAAAAAGTTTAAGATTCCTGAAGGTTTAAAATATAAGTGTAGTCGTTGATTCGCAAGGTATTTGAGCCAGACGGTTGATCGAATTCAAATATATGTAGGTATATCTATCCAGACAGGTCTTAAAAAAGTATCCCTGTGTTGTCCAGTGTCTTTTCCTACGTCTACAGAACTGTTAAGATGGATTCTTTAGAAAACTTTGAAGTTGTCATCTGGTACACTCCTTTTTAGACTTTTTTTCTGTTCGACAACGCATTTTATTTTAAAAGGTCTTAGGCTCTTATTACAATGCTTTTCTTCTTTACTCGATGTAATTGTTAATATTTTGGATTCTTCATAGAAACTGAACAGCCTTCACCCCCGGCAGGTGTGGATGTGTCAGCCTCGACTCCGAGTAAGTTTTTGTCCCATGGTTTTTGACGTTTTTTTAATCATGTGCTTTCGTTTCCTCAGTTTTTCGAAGCGTTAGGATAGTCGTAAATTTCGATATTTATTTTAAATTTGTTTCCCGATGTGACAACAGAAGCCCCTAAAGTGACAACAAAAGCTCCTGAGAAGGTCACAGAAGCTCCTCAAGTGGTCACAGAAGAACCTACAGTGGTAACAGAAGCACCTGAAGTGGTAACAGAAGCACCTGAAATGGTAACCGAAGCACCTAAAGTGGTAACAGAAGCACCTGAAGTGGTCACAGAAGCACCTGAAGTGGTAACAGAAGCACCTGAAGTGGTCACAGAAACTCCTGAAGTGGTTACAGAAGCTCCAAAAGTGGTAACAGAAGCTCCTGAAGTGCTGACAGATGCTCCCGAAGTGGTGACAGATGCTCCCAAAGTGGTAACGGATGCTCCTGAAGTGGTAACGGATGCTCCCGAAGTGGTGACAGATGCTCCCGAAGTGGTAACAAAAGCCCCTGAAGTTGTGACAGATGCTCCCGAAGTAGTAACAGAAGCTCCTGAAGTGGTAACAGAAGCCCCTGAAGTGGCGACAGATGCTCCCGAAGTTGTAACAGAAGCTCCCGAAGTGGTGACAGATGCTCCCGAAGTGACAACAGAAACTTCTGTAGTGGTGACAGATGCTCCCGAAGTTGTAACAGAAGCTCCTGAAGTGGTGACAGATGCTCCCGAAGTGACAACAGAAACTCCTGTAGTGGTGACAGATGCTCCCGAAGTTGTAACGGAAGCTCCTGAAGTGGTAACGGATGCTCCCGAAGTGGTGACAGATGCTCCCGAAGTGGTAACAGAAGCCCCTGAAGTTGTGACAGATGCTCCCGAAGTAGTAACAGAAGCTCCTGAAGTGGTAACAGAAGCTCCTGAAGTGGTGACAGATGCTCCAGAAGTGGTAACAGAAGCTCCCGAAGTGGTAACGGATGCTCCCGAAGTGGTAACAGAAGCTCCTGAAGTGGTCACAGATGCTCCAGAAGTGGTAACAGATGCTCCCGAAGTGGTAACGGATGCTCCCGAAGTGGTGACAGATGCTCCCGAAGTGACAACAGAAACTCCTGTAGTGGTGACAGATGCTCCCGAAGTTGTAACAGAAGCTCCTGAAGTGGTAACTGATGCTCCCGAAGTGACAACAAAAGCCCCTGAAGTGCTAACAGAAGGCCCTGAAGTGGGAACAGGAGCTCCTGAAGTTGTAACAGAAGCTCCTCAAGTGGTAACACAAGCTCCTGATGTGGTAACGGAAGCTCCTGAAAAGACAACAAAAGCTCCTGAAGTGGAAACAGAAGCTCCTGAAGTGGTAACGGATGCTCCCGAAGTGACAACAAAAGCCCCTGAAATGGTAACAGAAGCCCCTGAGGTGGTGACAGATGCTCCCGAAGTTGTAACAGAAGCTCCCGAAGTAGTGACAGATGCTCCCGAAGTGGTAACAGAAGCTCCCGAAGTGGTGACAGATGCTCCCGAAGTGGTAACAGAAGCTCCTGAAGTGGTCACAGATGCTCCGGAAGTGGTGACAGATGCTCCAGAAGTGATAACGGATGCTCCTGAAGTGGTGACAGATGCTCCTGAAGTGGTAACAGAAGCTCCTGAAGTGGTGACAGATGCTCCAGAAGTGGTAACAGAAGCTCCCGAAGTGGTAACGGATGCTCCGGAAGTGGTAACGGATGCTCCTGAAGTGGTGACAGATGCTCCAGAAGTGCTGACAGATGCTCCCGAAGTGGTAACAGATGCTCCCGAAGTGGTGACAGATGCTCCCGAAGTTGTAACGGATGCTCCCGAAGTGGTGACAGATGCTCCCGAAGTGGTAACAGAAGCCCCTGAAGTTGTGACAGATGCTACCGAAGTAGTAACAGAAGCTCCTGAAGTGGTAACAGAAGCCCCTGAAGTGGTGACAGATGCTCCCGAAGTTGTAACACAAGCTCCCGAAGTGGTGACAGATGCTCCCGAAGTGACAACAGAAACTCCTGTAGTGGTGACAGATGCTCCCGAAGTGGAAACAGAAGCTCCTGAAGTGGTAACGGATGCTCCCGAAGTGACAACAAAAGCCCCCGAAGTGACAACAGAAGCTCCCGAAGTAGTGACAGATGCTCCCGAAGTGGTAACAGAAGCTCCCGAAGTGGTGACAGATGCTCCCGAAGTGGTAACAGAAGCTCCCGAAGTGGTCACAGATGCTCCGGAAGTGGTGACAGATGCTCCAGAAGTGATAACGGATGCTCCTGAAGTGGTGACAGATGCTCCTGAAGTGGTAACAGAAGCTCCTGAAGTGGTGACAGATGCTCCAGAAGTGGTAACAGAAGCTCCCGAAGTGGTAACGGATGCTCCGGAAGTGGTAACGGATGCTCCTGAAGTGGTGACAGATGCTCCAGAAGTGCTGACAGATGCTCCCGAAGTGGTAACAGATGCTCCCGAAGTGGTGACAGATGCTCCCGAAGTGGTAACGGATGCTCCCGAAGTGGTGACAGATGCTCCCGAAGTGGTAACAGAAGCCCCTGAAGTTGTGACAGATGCTACCGAAGTAGTAACAGAAGCTCCTGAAGTGGTAACAGAAGCCCCTGAAGTGGTGACAGATGCTCCCGAAGTTGTAACACAAGCTCCTGAAGTGGTGACAGATGCTCCCGAAGTGACAACAGAAACTCCTGTAGTGGTGACAGATGCTCCCGAAGTTGTAACAGAAGCTCCTGAAGTGGTAACGGATGCTCCCAAAGTGGTGACAGATGCTCCCGAAGTGACAACAGAAACTCCTGTAGTGGTGACAGATGCTCCCGAAGTTGTAACAGAAGCTCCTGAAGTGGTAACTGATGCTCCCGAAGTGGTGACAGATGCTCCCGAAGTGACAACAGAAACTCCTGTAGTGGTGACAGAGGCTCCCGAAGTTGTAACAGAAGCTCCTGAAGTGAAAACGGATGCTCCCGAAGTGGTGACAGATGCTCCCGAAGTGACAACAGAAACTCCTGTAGTGGTGACAGATGCTCCCGAAGTTGTAACAGAAGCTCCTGAAGTGGTAACTGATGCTCCCGAAGTGACAACAAAAGCCCCTGAAGTGCTAACAGAAGGCCCTGAAGTGGGAACAGGAGTTCCTGAAGTTGTAACAGAAGCTCCTCAAGTGGTAACACAAGCTCCTGATGTGGTAACGGAAGCTCCTGAAAAGACAACAAAAGCTCCTGAAGTGGAAACAGAAGCTCCTGAAGTGGTAACAGATGCTCCCGAAGTGACAACAAAAGCCCCTGAAATGGTAACAGAAGCCCCTGAGGTGGTGACAGATGCTCCCGAAGTTGTAACAGAAGCTCCCGAAGTGGTGACAGATGCTCCCGAAGTGGTAACAGAAGCTCCCGAAGTGGTGACAGATGCTCCCGAAGTTGTAACAGAAGCTCCTGAAGTGGTCACAGATGCTCCTGAAGTGGTGACAGATGCTCCAGAAGTGATAACGGATGCTCCTGAAGTGGTGACAGATGCTCCTGAAGTGGTAACAGAAGCTCCTGAAGTGGTGACAGATGCTCCAGAAGTGGTAACAGAAGCTCCCGAAGTGGTAACGGATGCTCCCGAAGTGGTAACAGAAGCTCCTGAAGTGGTGACAGATGCTCCAGAAGTGGTAACAGAAGCTCCCGAAGTGGTGACAGATGCTCCCGAAGTGGTAACAGAAACTCCAGAAGTGGTGACAGATGCTCCAGAAGTGGTAACAGATGCTCCCGAAGTGGTAACAGATGCTCCCGAAGTGGTAACGGATGCTCCTGAAGTGGTGACAGATGCTCCAGAAGTGGTAACAGAAGCTCCCGAAGTGGTGACAGATGCTCCCGAAGTAGTAACAGAAGCTCCTGAAGTGCTGACAGATGCTCCCGAAGTGGTAACAGATGCTCCCGAAGTGGTGACAGATGCTCCCGAAGTGGTAACGGATGCTCCCGAAGTGGTGACAGATGCTCCCGAAGTGGTAACAGAAGCCCCTGAAGTTGTGACAGATGCTCCCGAAGTAGTAACAGAAGCTCCTGAAGTGATAACAGAAGCCCCTGAAGTGGTGACAGATGCTCCCGAAGTTGTAACACAAGCTCCCGAAGTGGTGACAGATGCTCCCGAAGTGACAACAGAAACTCCTGTAGTGGTGACAGATGCTCCGGAAGTTGTAACAGAAGCTCCCGAAGTGGTGACAGATGCTCCCGAAGTGACAACAGAAACTCCTGTAGTGGTGACAGATGCTCCCGAAGTTGTAACAGAAGCTCCTGAAGTGGTAACGGATGCTCCCAAAGTGGTGACAGATACTCCCGAAGTGACAACAGAAACTCCTGTAGTGGTGACAGATACTCCCGAAGTTGTAACAGAAGCTCCTGAAGAGGTAACTGATGCTCCCGAAGTGGTGACAGATGCTCCCGAAGTGACAACAGAAACTCCTGTAGTGGTGACAGAGGCTCCCGAAGTTGTAACAGAAGCTCCTGAAGTGGTAACGGATGCTCCCGAAGTGGTGACAGATGCTCCCGAAGTGAAAACAGAAACTCCTGTAGTGGTGACAGATGCTCCCGAAGTTGTAACAGAAGCTCCTGAAGTGGTAACTGATGCTCCCGAAGTGACAACAAAAGCCCCTGAAGTGCTAACAGAAGGCCCTGAAGTGGGAACAGGAGTTCCTGAAGTTGTAACAGAAGCTCCTCAAGTGGTAACACCAGCTCCTGATGTGGTAACGGAAGCTCCTGAAAAGACAACAAAAGCTCCTGAAGTGGAAACAGAAGCTCCTGAAGTGGTAACAGATGCTCCCGAAGTGACAACAAAAGCCCCTGAAATGGTAACAGAAGCCCCTGAGGTGGTGACAGATGCTCCCGAAGTTGTAACAGAAGCTCCCGAAGTTGTAACAGAAGCTCCTGAAGTGCTGACAGATGCTCCCGAAGTGGTAACAGATGCTCCCGAAGTGGTGACAGATGCTCCCGAAGTGGTAACAGAAGCTCCCGAAGTGGTGACAGATGCTCCCGAAGTTGTAACAAAAGCTCCTGAAGTGCTGACAGATGCTCCCGAAGTGGTAACAGATGCTCCTGAAGTGGTGACAGATGCTCCCGAACTGGTAACGGATGCTCCTGAAGTGGTAACGGATGCTCCCGAAGTGGTGACAGATGCTCCCGAAGTGGTAACAGAAGCCCCTGAAGTTGTGACAGATGCTCCCGAAGTAGTAACAGAAGCTCCTGAAGTGGTAACAGAAGCCTTTGAAGTGGTGACAGATGCTCCCGAAGTAGTAACAGATGCTCCCGAAGTTGTAACACAAGCTCCCGAAGTGGTGACAGATGCTCCTAAAGTGACAACAGAAACTCCTGTAGTGGTGACAGATGCTCCGGAAGTTGTAACAGAAGCTCCCGAAGTGGTGACAGATGCTCCCGAAGTGACAACAGAAACTCCTGTAGTGGTGACAGATGCTCCCGAAGTTGTAACAGAAGCTCCTGAAGTGGTAACGGATGCTCCCGAAATGGTGACAGATGCTCCCGAAGTGGTAACAGAAGCTCCTGAAATGGTGACAGATGCTCCAGAAGTGGTAACAGAAGCTCCCGAAGTGGTGACAGATGCTCCCGAAGTGGTAACGGAAGCTCCTGAAGTGGTGACAGATGCTCCAGAAGTGGTAACAGATGCTCCCGAAGTGGTGACAGATGCTCCTGAAGTGGTGACAGATGCTCCCGAAGTGGTAACAGAAGCTCCCGAAGTGGTTACAGATGCTCCCGAAGTTGTAACAGAAGCTCCTGAAGTGCTGACAAATGCTCCCGAAGTGGTAACAGATGCTCCCGAAGTGGTGACAGATGCTCCCGAAGTGGTAACGGATGCTCCTGAAGTGGTAACGGATGCTCCCGAAGTGGTGACAGATGCTCCCGAAGTGGTAACAGAAGCCCCTGAAGTTGTGACAGATGCTCCCGAAGTAGTAACAGAAGCTCCTGAAGTGGTAACAGAAGCCCCCGAAGTGGTGACAGATGCTCCCGAAGTGGTAACAGAAGCTCCTGAAGTGGTCACAGATGCTCCGGAAGTGGTAACAGATGCTCCCGAAGTGGTAACGGATGCTCCTGAAGTGGTGACAGATGCTCCCGAAGTGGTAACAGAAGCTCCTGAAGTGGTGACAGATGCTCCAGAAGTGGTAACAGAAGCTCCCGAAGTGGTAACGGATGCTCCCGAAGTGGTAACAGAAGCTCATGAAGTAGTGACAGATGCTCCAGAAGTGGTAACAGAAGCTCCCAAAGTGGTAACGGATGCTCCCGAAGTGGTAACAGAAGCTCCTGAAGTGGTGACAGATGCTCCAGAAGTGGTAACAGAAGCTCCGGAGGTGGTGACAGATGCTCCCGAGGTGGTAACAGAAGCTCCAGAAGTGTTGACAGATGCTCCAGAAGTGGTAACAGATGCTCCCGAAGTGGTAACGGATGCTCCTGAAGTGGTGACAGATGCTCCCGATGTGGTAACACAAGTTCCCGAAGTGGTGACAGATGCTCCCGAAGTGGTGACAGATGCTCCCGAAGTGGTAACAGAAGCCCCTGAAGTTGTGACAGATGCTCCCGAAATAGTAACAGAAGCTCCTGAAGTGGTAACAGGAGCCCCTGAAGTTGTGACAGATGCTCCCGAGGTGGTGACAGATGCTCCCGAAGTGGTAACAGATGCTCCCGAAGTGGTAACAGAAGCTCCTGAAGTGGTAACAGAAGCCCCTGAAGTTGTGACAGATGCTCCCGAGGTGGTGACAGATGCTCCCGAAGTGGTAACAGAGGCTCCCGAAGTGGTAACAGATGCTTCCGAAGTGGTAACAGAAGCCCCTGAAGTTGTGACAGATGCTTCCGAGGTGGTAACAGAAGCCCCTGAAGTTGTGACAGATGCTCCCGAAGTAGTAACAGAAGCTCCTGAAGTTGTAACAGATGTAATGACAGATGCTCCCGAAGTTGTAACAGAAGCTCCTGAAGTGGTAACAGAAGCTCCCGCAGTGGTGACAGATGGTCCCGAAGTGACAACAGAAGCTCCTGAAATGGTGACAGATGCTCCCGAAGTGATAACAAAAGCTCCGGAAGTCGTAACAAAAGCACCTGAAGTGACAACAGAAGCTCCTGAAATCCTAACAGATGCTCCCGAAGTTTTAACAAAAGCTCCAGAAGTGACAACAAAGGCTGTTGCTTCAACTGGTAAGATATATTGTATTACGTGTGTTAAGATATTCGATTGATGATTTAAATACTCAAACAAAGTTACCTTCAATGTATTTTTGCAGAGTCCCCAGTGTATTACGTCAACATAAGAGTTGTAAATAATTACGGTTATGACATTGATGTGCGCAGTAGTTCAGACGTCATCGATGATTTCGAAGTACCAAACGGTGAAGAGCGGAATATTCAAGCCACATCAAGCACGGCAGAATCATTTGTGATTCGATTTTACGATCGTCGTGATGGCATTCCAATTCTGGTCAAAGGCGAAAATTACGTAAGAATAATTCCAAAAACTTCGCCATTGTTTGTGCACGATATCGTCGTGGAAGCTGGTAAGTTATCGTCAACGTTGATCAACATCCGTTTAATTGTCTGGGAATGAAAGGCCTAATAGTGACAACTTGCAATGAGATTCTTCTTTTGAGAGATGTAAATTTGGCAGCTAACAAACTTTTGTCTTTATTACTCTTCATTGCGTTTCTTACACTTACATTTTGAAGTATCTTCACTAATTTACATCTCTTAAAAGTAGAATTGCATTGCAAGTTGTAAGAAATATTGCATCGTGTAACATGGCCTTTAGTCTCGCAAATACATTGGAGAGAACAGATGGACAATTTTTTTCAGGCCCATGCAGTTGTTTTAGGAGATATATCACGAATATAATTCTTCCCAATGACGTCATTACATTCTGTAGAATACTATGTGGGCTTTGTTCGGTGATGAAAATTAGGTATACATTGGGTATATATTAGGTATTTTTACATGTAGTATTATGCGACACGGAATGCCTCAACATATTTTACTTTTTTCGTTTTCAACCTCAAATCTCGTCTGTTTTCCTAAATTTACCTCAATACCATTTGGTTGAAGTGGTGTAGTATTTCAGCTACCACATTACTGTGGTCTGCTGCATTTTGATTGTTAGGGAACTGTTGTGGTTGGCCGTTTCATTTATCTGCGGCAAATTTCGCGTTCTCAATCCTGTGATTATATTCTTTGTAGGTGAAATTAAGTTCTATGTTGTGTTCTTGCTGGTTAATAACTATGATCGTGAGGTTGTTGTTTCTACTGGTCTTTCTGGGACATCTGGAAGTATTACGATGGGACCAGGTCAAACGTTTGCAGTAAGTGAACAGCCAAACAATGACAACCCTATCATCGTGACGGCGAAGGACAGCTCTAACGACGAAGAAGTCAATATCAATGATCAAAGCAGTATTTCCATCACTCCAGATGAAGTTTTTGGTGCTTCGTTCCAAGTTTTGTTTTTACATCGTAAAGATCCTGGTGAGTACCGTATATAAAATTCAATATATTCAGGAAACCTGAAATTCCGCTCTTGCATAAGATTGAATGTTACTTTGGCGTACTACGTCTTGTCTAGTTGACTGAAATATGTCCAGGGATCAGTTGCTCAAAAAGAAGCTAAATTTACCTATAGGTGGTGCAAAATTTATCAATATAAACGGTCAATCAGGGGTGTCTCCGGCAGGGTTTACGGACAAATATTGAAAAATATTTGCGAATCACAGATATTAAAATTATATTTTTCCAATCACAAAATCGGATGGTTTTTATTTCTTCATTTTACCGCGATAAAGGAAGTTGTTTCAATATCCCGAAGAAAACGATCATTTTCTTGTCTTGCAGTCCCAACGGTTCCTCCTGGAGAAACAGTGTATTACGTCACCTTCATTATCACTAACACGTACGGTAGATACTTCGACTTAAGAACAAGTTTACCACGTCCATATGACGTAATCAGAATTATGAAAGATCAAACAGTGCGCATGACAATCAGAGTCCCAACACGAGAAGATGTTTCGTTTGAAGCGATTTCGGCAACTGGAGAGCGGATTACAATTAATGGCAAAGATATATTCCCAATAACACCACAGGATAATCCAGAGAAAGTAACTGTTTTGAGGGTTCCTGATGCAGGTTAGTCTAGGTTAAACAAACTCCTTTTGCAAACTCGTAGTTCAAATTAATTTCCTTTTTGGCAAAAGATTTCTTTTTATAGAAAACAAATGCCCCATATATATACTGACCGATAAAAGTCGGAAATTGTTTCCAACGTGTCGTCATTACCATTATGCTTATTCGCGCATTTTATTCTGCTTATTCACGCATTTTACAAAAAAATAAGTTCGGTCAGACCCATCTGGAGTGGAAATTTTTAAAGATACAAAACGTGACTTCGCGATCAATATACAGTATTTCAGGCTCCACGGATTTTTTTCAATTTGTTCAATTTTCCTATTTTCTTGTACGAAAACGTTTCATAAAATAAATAATGGGGTGAACCGGACTTGTTCGCAAGTAAAGGCGTGAATCAGTAAAATATCGACCATATTGAATCTCTTCTTCTTTCCACGAAAAGCTCCTGAAGTGGTAACAGATGCTCCCGAAGTGGTAACAGAGGCACCTGAAGTTGTCACAGAAGCCCCTGAGGTTGTTACAAAAGCTCCAGAAGGAACAACAAAAGCTCCTGAAGTGACAACAAAAGGACCTGAAGTGACAGAAGCTCCTAGTAAGTTTCTTAACGAATTTTTAATATTTTTTTTCCATGTAGCTACAATAACTATTTTGAAGCTTTCCATATGATTTCGTGGTGGTTGGAATTTTTGCGTTGAGCTAATCAGTACATCAATCATTTCCTCTGATTTCCAAACGAAACTGGTTGGCGCATCTAGATTTTTCTAGTTTTGTATACGAGTGTCGCTGGATCGTAACGCAGAGTCAGAGGTCATAACCTTGTGGTGTAATTGTTATTAACTGCTTGCTTTTGCTACTTTAGGCCTTTATTATTTTGATGTCACAATCGTAAATGATTATGGAAAAGAAGTCGTAGTTTTAACAACCCATTCTGATCCAGCATATAAACGGATTGTACTCGGTGTTGGTGAAAGGTATCAAATAACGTCAACATCTTCTGCAAAAGAACAAATATACATTACTGCACTTTACGGTGATACAAATATAGTAATCTCGGTGGACGGCAAGAGACCGCTTGCTGTAACCAGCAGTGTGGAACGAAAGGCTCTCATCTATTATATTCCTGCAGGTAAAAAGAAAACTCACCCAATTTATACATGGATTTCTTTGTTAAAATATGTTTACGTGTGGAATTATTTTTCACTTTACCAATATAAGCCTTTTAATTAGTTGTTTTTGATCACGCGGTATTAATTAAAAATTTTGATTTTGCTATGACCGTGCAGAGGAAGTTTTTCTTGCCCGGTCTAGCCGTGTAAATGGTGTTTTTCATTGTACGGTTGCTTTTATTAAATTTAATCATTCACAGTATATTAATCATACAGATAAACCAATCGCAATCTTATAATCAACATTTTTTCAACTCAAAGTTGAGGAACTTAGCAAGACGAATGCCATTGGAAGATTTGGCTAAAATACAATAGACACGTGGACAATAACATAGTTATTGAGTTCTATATTGTACTTTTATTCAGTCTCAAAACCCCATGTATATTCTATTGTTAATGTGAATTAACATACCGCTTTTTTAATGTCAAACAGCTCCAACAGCACCACCACAGGTTTCAACTGCGCCTCCTGTTACTGGTATCGGTAAGTTTATTCATATTTATATATTCTAATTTTTCAATTAAGTGTTTAAAGCTTTGACATCCCATAAAATATTTGCCGGGTCAAAATTCGTGATTAGCCAACTCCAAAAGTACCTTAACTTAGGGATTGTTCACAACTTCACATGAGCCCGGTTACCCGAGATTTTACGAAGCGTGAATGATTTTTAGGCATTAACAGGATCGTGTTATTTATTAATTTCAATACCTCAAAGTTAATTTACGCTTCGTTAAATCTTGGGTAACCGGGCTCATGTGAACAGCCCCGAACTTCATAGTTCAAAGAGAACATCAAAGGAGTTTTTTACAATAATCCTGCGGCAAACTCCCGAACCTATTCGGAGCAGACTATTTTACGATTGCATTCAAATTTTAATATATAAGTAAAATATAGTTAAGTATTTAAAGATTACTCAGCTATAAAAATATACCTTTCATGTAGATGTAGACTGTAGTTAATTTTAACTGCCTTTATATGACCGAATGTCATATAAGGTTACAATGAGTAGCGTTCGTACATCACAGAACGCAATATGAAGCTAGACACAACACACATACTTTGAGCCACATATGATTTCCCTAATGTATAATAATAATACGGCCAATGTGTAATAATAATACGGCAACGCGTAATTTCGCGCGGTTCCGGTTCTGGGCAGTGTTCCCCATAGACCTATTCGAAAATGAGCAAGAGACCTGTAGCTAATTACACAAAAACGAGGCTAGACAGGTTTTCTTCTGCCAAAATAAGTAATTATTTGTTTATTTCTGGATTTTGATTGAAACGTTTCTGTAGCTTCTGACAGGTCCAGCGGAAAAGTGAAAGTAAACATGATTTTGAAATTCCGAAAATGAACATCTGACTAGCCTCGCTTTGGTGTACCCCGCCAAAGGCCTCTTGCTCTTTTTCGATTAGGTCAATGTCACCGAGGCTGCAACTAGTGCTCCTTCTGTTTTTACTGGAAAAGGTATATATACGCTAATTTCTCAGCTGTTTTCGAACATTTTTTTTATGGCAGTATTGAAATAACTGCAATCAGGACCGAAACTAGAGCGATAATACTGGGTGACATTTTTATATTCTGTTTTGCTCGCCGGATTTGTGCCCGTCGGGCTGAGTTAATCAGCATATGCCAAATTGCACTCCGCAAATAT